CCCCGGCCGTGACGTCGATAGCAGGGGCGGGACCAACACGCGGAAGGGGGTGCGGTGGCGTGCGCGGTTGCCGCGGCAACGGAGCGGGGAGGAGCTTGAGGTGGACACGCCCCATTGGGCGGCCCCACGAGGAGCCCCGCCGCCCGTCACCCAGCCGGCGCCCCGGGATCCCGCAGCCCCCCCCGGCCCCCGCCTCCCCTTCCGGCCACTCACCCGGGCTCCCCCTGTCCTTCCCAGCACCCCGAGGGGCCCTCCGCCCGCTCCCCTCAAGGCCCGTGGGGCCGCGTCCCCCTTTACCACCCCCAGCCGGGACCCGCGGGTCCCAGCCTGCCCCAGGGACCTGGGTGACACCACCCCGGCCCCCCCTGCCTGAGCGGGGCCCTATCCCCACTCTGACCCCGCCCTCTGACCCCGCCCGCCGGAACCGCCGCCGGGGGGGAGACACGGGACGTGCTCCCGAACGGCCCCTTTAACACCTGTCACGTCAGGGAGGCTCCGCCCCCTCTCGTCACCACGGCCCACCCCGCGCGCTCGCTCTCTCTTTCCCCGTTCCAAGATGGCGGCGGCAGCCGGGCGGCACTGAGGTGTTCCCGACGCCCGCAGGTACCGGGGCGGGGTCCGGGCGGGGGGGTCCGCGGCGTCCGGAGCTCCCCGCGCCGCGGGCCTGCCCCTTCCCTTTCTCCGCAGCGCCCTGCCATGCGGCCCGGCCCCCTCGACGCCCCCAGCCGCCCCCGGTGATCCGGGCCCCCCGGTGGTCCGGGCCGGGCCCCGCCATGCTGCGGCGGCTGCTGGAGCGGCCCTGCACGCTGGCCCTGCTGGTCGGCTGCCAGTTCGCCTTCGTCGCCTACTTCTCCCTGGGGGGGTTCCGCAACCTCACCTCCCTCTTCGGCCGCGCCGCCGGGCCCGTCTTCGACTACTCCCGCACCCACGACGTCTACGCCAACCTCAGCCGGCTCCTGCCCCGCCAGCCCGCCCGCCCCGACCCCGCGCAACCCCTGCCCTTCTGCCCCGAGCGATCGCCCTTCCTCGGTGAGTGCGGGGCCGCTGCCAGCAGCCCCGCCCGGGCGCGGGGAAGGGGAGGGTTATGCCCGGCCCTGCCCACGGTGGAGCCGCGAAAGCGGCCGTGGAGGGGGGGGATCCCGGGAGCTGTCGGGGCAGGGACCGGCCACCCTGCCCCAGGGGAAAGAACTCCCCCCAGGGAAAAAAACCACCCCGGGGAAAGAACCGTGTCCCTCCCCCCGCCCTGGGGGAAGAACCGGCCCTGCAGCTGCCAGCCCAGACTGACCAGCTGGGCAGGCAGGGCCCGTTTGGGGAGGCTCCCGAGGTTTGAGGCAGGGGGGAGCGGCCCTGGGGATCTGTGCTCCCCCTCGTGGGTGCTGTCCCCGCCACCCCACGCCAGCCCCCTGCCTCCCCCACGCAGTTGGCCCGCTGACGGTGAGCTTCAGCCGGGTGCACACGCTGGAGCAGATCCAGGCGAAGAACCCGGCGGTGCGGGAGGGCGGCCGGTACCAACCCTCCACCTGTGAGTCCCGGTCCCGCACCGCCATCATCATCCCCCACCGCAACCGTGAGACCCACCTGGGCCACCTGCTCTACTACCTGCACCCCTTCCTGCAGCGTCAGCAGCTCCAGTATGGCATCTATGTCGTGCACCAGGTGAGTCCGGCGGGCGCCGGCGGCTTTGCTGGGCTCGTGCCAAGGGCCGTTGCTGCCAGCCCCCTCTCCCCGCAGGCGGGCAACTCCACCTTCAACCGGGCCAAGCTGCTGAACGTGGGGGTGAAGGAGGCTCTGAAGGACGAGGAGTGGGACTGCCTCTTCCTCCATGATGTCGACCTCATCCCTGAGAATGACCACAACCTCTACATCTGCGACCCCTGGAACCCCAAACACGTCTCCATTGCCATGAATAAATTCGGATATAGGTGGGTGACCACGGCTGGGAGTGAGCTGGGAGTGAGGGGACCGGCCCCGGCCCTGGCTCAGTGTCTGTCCCCCCTCTTGCAGCCTGCCATACCCCCAGTACTTTGGGGGGGTCTCGGCTCTCACCCCTGACCAGTACATGAAGATCAACGGCTTCCCCAATGAGTACTGGGGCTGGGGCGGCGAGGACGATGACATCGCCACCAGGTAGGATGCCACGAGGACCTGCTGGTCTCACCGTCCCCTGTGTTTGTGACCTGCTGGGAGGCACTGGCTGGTCGCCAGGCCCCGGGACACTGTCGCTGCGTAGGAAGAGCACACGGGGGCCATTGCCACCGCACTGGGGGGGGGACACAGGCAGCGTCCCCAAGCCCTGGCACCTTTGGGTGACGCAGTGGCTCATCTGCAGGGTGCGCCTGGCTGGCATGAAGATCGCCCGCCCACCCATCTCCATCGGCCACTACAAGATGGTGAAGCACAAGAGTGACAAAGGCAACGAAGAGAACCCCCACAGGTCAGGGGGCTGGCAAGGGGTGCGGCGGGGGAGGGCCGGTGGGGGGCTCAGCAGTGATGCTCCCCTTCCCTTGTCCCTTCCAGGTTTGACCTGCTGATCCGCACACAGCGGATGTGGACACAGGATGGGATGAACTCCCTCACCTACACACTGCTGGCCAAGCACCTCCACCCCCTCTACACCAACCTCACGGTGGACATCGGGACGGACCCCCGTGCTGGCCGGGGCCGCAGGGGGCCAGTGCCGGGCCACGAGGGGCAGAGGTACCGCAGCAGCACCAGCCTCTTCCGGGAGGAGATGCTGCGTAAGCTGCCCCAGGATGCTGCGGGCTGGGGGGACCAGGGCCTGTCCTTGTCCCCCCGGCTGCCCACAGCCACCGCGCAGCAGCCACTGGAAGGTAATGGCACCCAGGGCAGTGCCAGCCCCCCACCGGCACCGGGGATCACCCAGCACAGCCCTGAGGCTGCCGGGGAGGGCGATGCCCACCTGGGAAGCAGCACTGGTGTGGCTGTGACACAGGAGGAGGGGATGCTGCCTGCCCGTGGGGACAATCAGAGCCTGCCTCAAGGCACCCACTAGCTGCTGGCCACTGTGGGCCCCAGATGGACTCTGTTCGCCACAACCTGGTGCTGGGAAGGGACCCCCGTCATTTGTGGGGTTGGGGACCTGCTGCTGGGCTGGTTGTGCTGTGGCTTTGGTGGAGAGACTGGGGGGAGCAGCGAGCCATGGGGGCAACTGCCTGGAGAGCTGCTGGCCGTGGGGCCGGTGCCTGGTACTAGGGGTCACCCCTGGAAAGGGGTGCAGGGAGAGCTGGGGTCAGGGTGAGCTGGGGCCCCAGGGGCTCGCCTGACTCAGTCTCCCTGCTGGCTATGGGTGCCTGAAGATGGTTGCAAGCTGCGCTACTGGTGCGCGGTTATTTATTCTATTTATGAGCTGCTCCCTGGACCTTTATAAGGGTTTTTCAATTAAAAAAACACTTTGTCCTACTGCCATGGAGCTGCTGTGTGCCAGGAGGGGACGCAGGGACACTGGGGCTCAGCGCAGCTGCCCCAGCAGCTGCCCACCAGCCACTTTGGCACTGGCGATGCAGTCGTTGACGGAGACGCCGGTGTAGGAGGCCCCGATGAGGCTGAGGGGCAGCCGCTGCTCTGCCAGGAAGCGGTTGATGCGCTCTGCAGGGATGGGGGTGGGCAGTGGGCGCCTCTGTGGGGGCCGGGGGACCCCCAGGCCCCGGCCCCCTCTTACCTATGCGCTGCCAGTGGCCCAGCGTGTACTGGGGGATGCAGGCCTGGAGGACAGGGGGGAGCAGCTGGTGAGCCCTGTGAGACCCCCCAGGACCCCCCTAGGCCCCGCTGCCCTGCAGTGCCATCACCCACCTGGTGCACCTTGACGATAGAGCGGGTCGGGGCAGGCTCCAGGCCCAGCTGCTCCCGCACGGCAACCTGTGCCCGCTGCAGCAGCAGTGTCGGTGCCACCGCCACTGGGTCCCCAAAGCTCTGCCCAAACCAGGCGCCTCCCAGCATCACCTATACAGCACTGGCGGCACCGTTAGCCCCACCCAGATCATCCCTGTCCCCCCCACTCCATCCCCAGCTGCTCACCGTCAACCGCACCGAGGTGGCCCCTGTGCCGTCATGCTGGGGGAAGGCCACCGAGTCGTAGACAATGCCCAGGAGGGAGGCGTCCTCGGAGGAGGGCACCAAGTGCCCGAAGCCCTGGGTGGGAGTGGGATGGGGTCACCCGTGGGTTCTGGGGACACCCTTGGGCACCAGGGGACACCTGTGGGCACCGCTCTCACCGTAACGGGCAGCGCGACACCCTCATACTGCAGGTTCACCACGGCCACTGACACCGTTGGGATGTGCCGCAGCTCCTGCGCCAGTGGCTCCGTCTCGGCAGGCAGCACCTCAGCCAGGGCTGGGAGGAGAGGGGACATCATGGGGGGGGGGGGATAATGCTGTCCTCCTCTCCCCTGCCCTGCAGGAACCCCGGCATCTGGGCACCCCAACCCCTACCTGCAGCCGGGAGGGCGCTGACCACATAGTCGGCCATCACAGTGCCGTCTGCCAGGGTGAGCTGGGGGGAAGGAGAGTGGTGGAAGGGGGCAATGGGAAGAGAACCCAGGTGTCCTGGCACCCCCACCACCAGGGCCCTACCTGCCAGCGGCCATCGGGGTGGCGGCGCAGGCGGTGCAGGGGCGCGTGGCAGCGCAGCTCGACACCGCGCGGGTGCAGGAAGGCCGCCAGGGCCTGGGCCAGGCTCTCCATCCCGCCCCGCAGCGACCACTGGCTCCAGCGCTCAGCCCGCGCCCGCTGGCTCAGCCCTGACTCGGCCCCGCGCTCCTTTCCTGCAGGTGACAATGCCGGTGTTCCCTCATGCCATAGTGATGGCATCGGGGTGTTCCCCCATCGTGTCCCTCTGGCCTGGTGCTCACCGGAGCCCAACGCCAGCCCCAGCAGGACGGATCGCCGGCGCCGCTCGGCCTCAAAAAGTGCGGGAAAACAGGAGCGGATGCTCAGCACTCGGCAGTCCCCAGCGAACACGCCCCGGCATAGGCTGTCCACGGCGATGTCGGCCACCTGCATGGACATGGCAGGGTGAGGCCGGTCCCCGCCTGGCCCCTGCTGGGCCCTGATAAGTCCCTGGCGCTATCGCCCCCACGCAGACGCCCACCTCCTGGCCAAAGCGGCGATGCACAAAGGCGTGCACACTCTCGTCAGGCTCTGTCCCGGCTGGTGCCAGCAGGTCCCGCACCCCGCTCCACAGCAGCGCCCGCGAGAATGGGGGCACCGGCCACAGCAGGCCCCTGGGGACACCGAGGGCTCAGGGCAGGGTGGCCCATGGGTGGCACTGGGGTGGCACTGGGGCAGGCACCTACCCTAGGCCTGAGGGCAGCTTGTGCAGGGCCCCGCCAGTGTAGAGGAAGCGATTCCTGGAAGCCGGGTGGTCCCCAGGGACGGGCAGGACGTCACCCTCCAGGCCGAGCTCGGAGACCTGCGGAGACACAGGCAGGACGGGGCGGGGGACGGGCACGGCAGAGGCCACAGGACCTGCCCTGGGGCAGCCTCAACCGGACCCTGGCACCCATGCAAGGACCCCCAGGCCCCAGCACCCACACAGGGACCCCCTCCAGACCCCCAGCACCCTGGACCAACCCAGGGACACCGCAAGACCCTAGCACCCACCCAGAGACCTTCTGGCACCCTTGCACCCTGCACCAGGGTCCCTCTGGACCACTGCACCCTGGGACCCCTGAGCCCTTGTGCCCCCAGGGACCTAAAACACCCACCCAGGGGCCCTCCCCCAGACCCGAGCACCCACCCAGGGACACCCCCCCCCGAACTCCAGCACCCTGGAGCTGGACCATCAGAGGGGCCCTCCAGACGCCGGCACCCACCCAAGGACCCCTGACCCCAGCCCCCTGCCCAAGAGACCCCCCCCCAAAGCCCCCGCACCCCGAACCAAGCCCCAGGCCCCCCCTACCATGTGGAGGGTGTCGGTGCCCACCACCCCGGCGGGGCGGATGCCCCTGGGCCCGTGCTCGAACACGGCCCCGTCGGCAGTGCGGGTGCTCTGCAGCCACCCCCCCAGGCGGGCGCTGGCCTCCAGCAGCAGCACCTGGGGACACCGCGGTCACCCTGGGGACACCACAGCCGCCCCGGGGACACCGCGGCTGGGGATGCCGGCCCCCCCCGGGGGACAGCCCGGCCCCCGCGGGCTCGGGCCCGGGCCCGGGCTCACCTTGGGCGGGCGGGGGCCGCGGGCCAGGTGGTAGCAGGCGGCCAGGCCGCTGATGCCGCCCCCAACGACGGCCACGGTCGGCGGCATGAGGGACCTGGGCCGGGCGGGTCAGCGGGGGGGGCGAGGCCGTGCTGAGCGCCAGGACACCGACACCCCCGGCCCCGGCCCCTCCCGCCCGCACCTCTCCCGGCGCCCGGGCCGAGCAGGCCCCGCCCCTTCTCCGCGAGTGATGAGGGAGAGGGCGGGGCTAACGACGCGGTGTGCCAATGGCACGACCCCGTTCCCTGACGGACAGGCGCGGGGACCAGGCGTCGGCCCGCTACGGCGGCCGGGCAGGGCCATGCGGCGGCGCGGAACGGCCGGCAAGGCGCCCCGCTAGCGGTGACCTACGCCCCGCCCCGCCCGACAAGCCCCGCCCACGCGCTCGATAACCCGCCCCTCCAGCAATGAGCCCCCGCCCCCGCAGCTCACCCGCCCATCAGCTCTAGGCCCTCCCTTCCTGTAACAGACCCCGCCCCACCTGCTACTAGCCACGCCCCCCAAAGCCCACCCCGGACCCCACGGCAAGCCCCGCCTCTCCGCCATTAGCCACGCCCCCGTGCATTAAACCCCGCCCTTGAAGCCGAGCCACCCCACCGGTTCTAAACCCCCAACAGTCCTGCCCCTCCGCTCTTGCCCCGCCCCTCTGACTATAACCCCGCCCCCTGCCTCCAGTCCCGCCCCTCACACACTCCCCCTCCCCAAGCAGAGCACCCAGCCCCAACCTTTCACACCACCGGACTTGGGCTTTTTGGTTTTTTTTTTAGTAAATTTATTCACAAAAGCCCCGCCCGGGGCAGCGTGGGCTGCGGCCCCCCGCCCTCCGCCCACACCCCGCCACAGGGGGCTGGGGGGCTGCAGCCTGGGCCCCGGGAGGCAGCAGCCCCCTGCCCCGAGAGGCTGGGGGGGCCAGGGCGGCTCAGGGCCTCCTGCCGGGGGGCTCCTCCAGCTCGTAGAAGAGGACGTAGCCCTCGCTGGACGGCACCTGGTTCTCGCTGATGGGCGAGACGCTGCGGCGGCACCCTCAGCCCACGCCCGACCCGGCTGGGCAGGGGGGGGCGTAGGGCCCGGGCAAGGCGGGGGGGGGGTGGGGGGCACCTACCGGGAGTCGTTGTAGACACGCCAGCCAGCCGGGTCCCGGCAGAAGGCGGTGTAGTGGCCGTAGTGGACGCTGCCCGAGTGGTTGCAGAGGGCATAGAGGCTGTAGACAGGGCTGCCTGCGATGGGAGGCCAAGCTCAGCGCTGCCCCGGGGGATTGGCACCGCCCCACACCACCTGCCCCCCAACGCGCCTCACCCGCCTTCTCGCTGGCGAACTCCCGCAGGTTGAGCTGCTGCAGGGGGAAGTCCACGAAGACGGAGCACTTCTTGATGGAGTAGCGGGTAGTGGAGAACCGATTCAGGTCTGGGCAGCGTCAAGGAAAACGTGACCCCGAGCAGCCAGAGGGATGGCACCCCGTTCCTGGGGATGTCCTCCCACCCCTCTCCGCGAGCACCAGCAGCTCCGGGGGTCCCAGCCCTCTCCCCTGGTCCCCCACCCTCCAGTCCCCAAAGGATACGGAGCACCAGGATGCGGGGGAAGCGCTGGATGGTCAGCTTCTTTGTGCTCCGCGTCCGCTGCCGGCACTTGTCGCAGACCTGCCGGCGGCATGGCCTTGGTGAGAGGGGGCTGGAGGTGCTGAGCTGGGGGTGCTGAGCCGCCAGCCCCACCCTCTTACTGGGGCATTCTCTGAGTCCAGCTCCTCCTCCTTGGTGAAGAGGCTGAAGCAGTCATGGAGCGAGACCTTCCCACCGGCAAAGCTTTTCTGCAGGGGTAGAGGGTCAGGTGAGGGGCCAGGGGGTGGCTGGGGGGGGACAGGCGTGGCCGGGGGGCTCCGCCCCATCCCTACCTTTGGGATGGGCAGGGAGAGATCACAGAAGACCTCAAAGGTGGTGGAACGGTAGCCACACGCCTGGCACTTGAGGCAGCTCTTCAGCTGTCCCACGAAGAGGTCTGGGGGTGAGGAGGGGTGTGAAGCCAGGTGGAGAGGGGCACCCTGAGGGGTTTAGGCGTCTGGGGGGAGTCATCCCCACCCGGCAGCACTCACCCACGATCTTGCTGTCCTCCCTCTCCAGGTATCGCTTCCACATCTGGTTGGCGCGTTCGTCGTCACTGCGGGGAAAGGTGGTGAGTTGGGCTGCGTCCCTGCGGCTGGGGCTCACCCCCCTCCCCAGGACCCCTCTCCCCCTCACCTCAGTGTCTCAGGGTCCTCCAGCGCAGGGGTCCGCCGGGCATCTGAGAGGATGCTGGGGGTCCTGCGGCCCTTGCGGTTGATCTCCACGTGCAGCCGGTCCATGAAGAACTTGAGGAACTCCTGCGCATCCTGCTGGCTGTGGAGGGATAGACCCATCGCGCCTACTGCTGCTCTCAGCCCCCCAGGAGGCTGGGGAGCTGCCAGGGGCCCCCTGGGGCAGGGGGGGCAAAGCCTCACCTGTATCCAGTGAAAGAAGGGACATATTTCTGAAAGATGGCCTTGAAGCGCCCAGGGTTGACAGCCTCGGAGGAGTCGGGGTGCCAGAGGGCAGCAATGACGTCGGCAAAGGCTGTGGGGACAGGGGACATGCCGGGTGTCAGTGCCAGCAGGGTTTATATAAGACGTGGGGGGGGTGATTAGTTGCGGAGGGCTCCCGTCCCACCTTCGGTAAGCTCCTGGGGGGCACGGGTGCCAGGGGGCTGCTCCTGCTGGAAGTCCCGGCGCAGGCAGTAGTCCCGCAGCGGCTTGGTGCTGCTCAGGCACTGCAGCACAGCGTTCATGAAGCACTGCCGAGAGAATGGTGGGGATGTGGTGATGCCCTGCAGGGGGGAGCCACCAAGCCTTGGTGTGTCCTCCACTGTCCCTCATGCCCTTGACCGCACCCTGCTGCACTGCAGGGACCCCCAAGGGGCTAGGGGATCTCCAGGGACGTGCCAGCCCCGGCAGGAGGGAACTGCTTTGTTAGAGCCACTGCAAGCCCAGGGGGACCCCGGGTCCCTTAAGTACCCCAGGACATAGGGACAAGAGGGCTTGGGGGACGCGGGCACTTACCGTGTTGCCCAGGTTCCTGAGGCCGACGTGGCCTGAGCCCAGCAGCAGGGTGTGATGGGTCTGTGGGGACACAAAGGGACAGGAGTGAGACCCGTCCCCACACAACAAACGCCTCCAGCCGCCCCTCGGCTTCCTATGGACAGACAGATGGACAGCCCCCCAGCCACAGAGGCTTCACCTCGCTGCTGACGAGCAGCAGCCCCATGACAGCCGTGTGCACCACCGACTCAGAGATGTCAGTGCCACGGCCCTGCAGCTCCCGCTTGGTAACCAGGGTGCGGTGCAGCTTGCGCGGCAGCTCCACCAGCGTGGCTCCCTGCAGCCCTGGCATGGCTGTGGCACTGCCTGGGTGCCAGGACGGGACTGCGGCACCAGCGTTGCCGGGCCCCCTCTGCCTCTCTAAGCCACAGCTCATTAGCTGATCCGATTTCCCCCGGCTATTCTGGGCCTTGCTGGAGGCTCATCTCGGGGGGATTAATTAGCGGGAGAGCCACCTCAGGGACAGTGGGTGCCCAGAGAACGGGGAGCAGAGGCAAACACACCCGCCTGCCTTGCGCCATGCCGGTGAGGTGCAGGAGAGCAGTGCAGGGAGCAGGGCAGCCCGGTGGGGCCGGGGACACGCCTCATGCTGCTGGTGCCAGATGCGCTGCAGGGGCCAAGCCATGTCCCCGTCCCCCACCGGTGCAGGCCCAGCCCCGGGATTTCAGGGCACCTAATCCGCACACGTGTCCCAGGGCGAGCGGAGCACAGGGCCTGGCTGCTCCACGGGAAGAAGGTGGATGCGGAAACAGGCACGGTACTGGCCAGCCCCCAGCACCCCCGGAGCCGAGGGGACTCGACCCTTTCGCAGCAGGGGTCCCCCAGGAGGAACGCAGCAGGGAGAGGTGAGACCGGCACCACTGTGCCACCCCAGTGGTGTCACCAACCCCGATGGGAACAAATCTGCTGCCCCCCGACAGGGTGCAACTTGGGGGCCAGGGCCTGTCCCACCAGTGGGACAAATCCCAAGGCTCTTACAGCTGCTGTCTTCTCCTCGGTCCTGCCAGCTGCCGGGGCTCTGCCCAGGGCAGGGCTGCCGGGCACCAGAACGTTGGGGCTGTGGGCGCATGGGGTGTCAGGGGCAGTACGAGTCCTCGGGCAGCCCTCGGGCCGAACAGAGAGCAGCGGGGCGGTGGGCTTCCCGTCCAGCCCCGGGGAGACGTTGACCCTTCGGAGAGAGGAGCTCCTCCTGAGCGCCAGCGAGCCGGCGCTCAGCTGGTGGCCACAGTCCCTCAGCACCAGCCGGCTCAGCACTGCTGCCACGTCCTCAGCACGGCCACCACCGCTGCCCTGGCTCAGGTCTCCAATGCTGATGGATTTGGAGCGGGCCAGGTTGCTCCGCCGGCGCTCTGCTTCACGCCCCGCCAGTGAGGCCCCGGCAGGCAGGGAGAAAGAGGTGCTGCCCGGCACGGCGCCCGCCTGCGGAGAGCCGGGCACCCGCACTGCATGGTCTGCTTTCACAGGCCCCCGCCGGCATGCCGAGCCACGGAGAGCCTCCCCGCGTTTCGAGGCCCGACCTCGGTCCAGCTCCAACTTCTTGCTGCGGTCGTCCAGCGGGCCAGGCCGGGGTGGCAGAAGGCGAAGCTTGGGGGCTGGGGAGAGCCCGTTGGCAGCGGCGGAGGCCAGGGTGGCAGCATGGCGCTCCTGGCTCAGGGCCCGGTGCCCGCTGGGCAGCTTGGCAGCAGCCTTGGGCTGGGAGGTGACAACGGTGTGGTCCCTGGCCCGGCCGACACGGTGCTCCGAGGCTTGGGGCATCGTGGGGACGGTCGAGAGTGGAGCCCTGTGGGGAGAGGGACTGGGCTGATGCCGGCGGCGCCGGGACGGTGTGCAGGGGCACCAGGGTGCGCACCCACCTCTCTTTCCGCACCTCCTCCCGCCAGCACCACTCACAGCCCTCCGCAGCGAGTGGCTGGCCGGAGAGTCCCATTGGCAGGGGCCCTGCGGCACAAGGAGAGATGCTCTGGGTCACCAGATGGTACTGGGAGACAGCACGGCCCCAGTGAGACCCCACAGCCCCCTTTGCCCAGCTGCCATGGCACCAGCGGGAGGTGAGCGCTGTCCCGCGCTCCCCGAGACGGCAAGTGAATCACAGGTGCTTGGCACCACCGGGAGCGGGTTCCTCCCACCTGCCCACTCCAGGCTTTGCCGAAACACCGCTCAGAGTGCCCAGGCAACGAGGCAAGGTGAGGCAGCCATCTCCTGGTTCCTGCTCCATGGGGGCACCCGGCACCACGGGGGTGCAGGCCCCACACAGAGGCTGCCGGCACTTGACGCACCCTGGGAAGGGGCTCGGCAGCGATGGCTGTCCCCGGAGAGCGGCTGGAGCGGCTCTGGGGGGAGGGCTCGATCCCGGTGGGCCCTTGCCGGCTCGGATCCAGCAGGCAGGGAGGGAGGGACGGCGTTCCCGCTGCGGGTGCAGCGCCGGCGGGGGATGATGGCCGCGGTGCAGCCGTGGGGGCTGTTGGCACGGCGAGAGCCCCGAGCCCTCAGCTTGCCGGCCGGAGCGAAGGGCCCCGCGGGGTCGGCCGTGCCGACGGCAAAGGCCTCCGTTCCCCTCCCCGCCCGTCCCGTGCTCCGGGGACCCC